CTCGGGGTGCTTCCTGCACCTCGGGCAAATCGTCGACTCGATCGTGTAGCCACAAGCACGCCGCCGAGTGCGATTCCACTGCCCACTAGCCACCACGGTGAGCGCCAAGCCGTGATCGTCGAGCTGGTTGCGAGCTTGGTGCTGCTTGAGCTCCCTCATAACGTGGAAGAAATCGCCGCCACCGTCGAGGCCCTCGCCAGCGTCGTGCTTGCTCGCCTCTTTCCACAAGGCTGCCTGAACATCGCACGCCAAGTCGTCCATCAGCTCCACGGTGGATCCGACATGTTCGAACGCCTCCTCACCATGGGATGGCATATGCCACTCGTCAACTCCAGTGGCGGATTTATACACCAGCGGACTTGGGATACCAGCCCACGTCAAGCAGCGCAGAAATGATTGCAGCAGAAACGGGGCCTCTCTGACAGCGCGCCAGCGCCGCTTCTCAGCCTTCAAGGTCCGAGCCCGAATCGAAGGCCACGCCAGCCTGACTCGCCGATGCAGGCCAGACTGTGCCTGCCACAGGCTGGGCCACTCCAACATCTGCTGCCGACGGATCTCAATCGCAGGGTCCTCGAGGCCGAAGGAGGCCGCCAGGGTGCTCGTCAAGCAGCGCCCTCCCTGGCCGCCCGCCACAGCCGCAGCGGCCCGGCGCCGCAGCGCTCCGCGGGGTCGACGGCGGCGCGCCGTGGACCCCGGTGGCCGCACGCGGCCTGCGGGCACGCGCTCGTGGCCCAGAGGCGGCGGGCCTCGCGGCCCAGGGCGGCCGTGCGTCCGAGGCGCTCGGTCTTGCCAGCACGCCGCTTCGCCTTGATCCGTCGCGCGACGAGCCTCCGGCCGAGAGCGGGGCCCCGAGCCCAGCCTCGGCGGCGAGCGGAGGGGGGGGAGCGAGAGGGAGACGGCCTCGAAGGCGGCGCCGCCTCTCAGAAGCCCCCCCACGCCGCTTCGCTGGCACGCCAGCACGCCGCTTCGCTGGCACGCACCCTCCGTCTGCAGCCGCCACACCGATGCCCAGGTCGGCGCCCTGGGAAGTCCTCCTTGACAGGGACGCCTCGCGCACGAAGGGCGCCGGGCCGACTTCTTGGCCAGCTTCGCCGACGAGCCAAGGAGGACTGACTTGGTGGAGACAACCAGCCGCTGTTCCTGCGAGCCCTGGGTCAGCGTCGTGCCAATCGCGCCCGTGCCAGGTAGGGCCGAGTCGGCCGCCCCGTCGCAGCGACCGACGGTGTCGCCAATGAATGCCCACAGGCCAGCAGATGGGGGCCCCTGGTGCACTCGCTCCAAAATTTGGCAGAGCGCCAGCTTGGAGAAGGGAGTTCCCTGAGATGAGCCAGCCACAATACTGCGAGTTGGGAAGATCGCCTCGCTGAGCAAGCCCCGTTCCCGCAGGTAGCGGGGATACAAGTACACCTGAACCTCCGAGCCCACGACGGTGGGGCTGAAGCCGAAGTCCAGGCCAACCTGGAGGAGGCCGACCAATGAGACGCTGTCGTAGAATTTCTCAATATCCAGGAGCAGGACCAGGAAGCTCAGGTTCTGCCCCTGCGCCGCCTCGTCCAGGGCCACGCTCGGGCCCCCACTGCGACGCGAGAGCCTGGCGAGCCCGCGGCCGCAGCTTGACTGACAGCGGGGCCATGCTCAGAACGCGGTCGCCCTCACCCGACGGCTTCGGAGCAGGGGCCGACAGCGTGGCCGTGAGCTGGAGCGGCCGCGCTCGGACATCCTCACGATGTTGCAGGGTGCCAGCAGGAGCCTCGAGTCCTTGGAAAGGCAGGCGGGCAAGGCCGCCCGCACCGAGACCGTCAGCTCCACGAGCCTTCTTGTGGCCCGTGGCACGCATGGCCGCCTGGAGCTGCTCGGTCTGCAGTGGAGGGATCACCTCCTCGGCTGCCCTCAGGCGGATGCGAGCGGGGCTGGTCACGGTGCTCGCAGGGGTGTCCACCGCGTCGGTCCAGATCTTGCCCCAGCGCTCAGCCTTCGCAGCCATGATGGCGATTGGGTCGGCGACCGCATTGGCAGCAACATAGGTGGGCGTAAATTCCACAATGGCATCCTCAGGACGCGGGGCCACAGAATCACGAACGCGTCGGTGAAGAGAGCCTGGGGCCGAGCGCCACGTGCGCCGAACCCGATCAGCATAGGCTTTGCGTGCTTTGTCGATGCCACGAGCTACCTCACATGCGGCCACCGCCCCAACGCCGACGACCATCTGCGTGAGGCCCTGCGCTAACTGGTCGCTAGTGAGGCATTCAATGCCCTCGTAGAGCACGATGATGTGGTCGAGGGCGACCTTGGTCCGCTCTTGAAGATCAGGCCTCTGGCCCAGGTGATGTTGCCGAAGATGCTGAAAGCGGGCCGCAGCATCTCCAACAACACTCGGCATATGGTGCTCATCCTCGTCATGCAGGAACATCGCCCGAGCGCGTCGACACAAGGTGTCCAAAATAGACAAGTGTTCCGCGCCATCGTACTTCCAGTGCCCTCGACCTGGGGAGGAGACCGGTTTACTGTTTTTCTCTCCGGCCACGGGGCGGTCGCCCGTCGTGTGGCCAGTGCCTCCTAGCCCATGGGGGTTGCTGGAGGTACTCTTTCGGTCAGTGAGGTCTCCCTCACTGCCAGCAGTGGTTTCCCAGCCGCCGCTGCTGTGCCTTTTTTCACCTAGGCTGTGCGGGCGTTGAGCTATAAAAAAAGGCCGCGCGCCTTTCTTGCTAAGGGCCCCCTCTTCTGGGCCGACGTCTTGGGGCCAAGAAGGGCCTGCTCGACCTGGTCGACCCAGCTGCCGTAGGTTTGGGTGAGGCCGTCGTTCCCCTCATGGGCCCAGCCCACGATCGGCGTGCCGAAGATCATGCGCATCTCCGCTGTGGAGGCGCAGGGCTCCTCCACGCTCGGGCAGCTGCCGGTCCAGCGCTCGGCGGTGATCGCAAGTTCGTCGCCAGGTGGCTCCAGCGCCGCCTCCACGCTATAGAGGTCTGCGAAGGCCTCCTGGTGGTCCAGTGGGAGCGCCGCCCTGCGCCTCTGGAGCGCCGCCTGCTTACGCGGGTAGCACTTGCTCAGAGGGTCTCGGGCAGTGGGTGGTCGAGCAAGCGCAGGGTGAGGCCGAGGTAAGACCAACGCTCGACGCCACCACGCCGTCGACGAGCCCTCTTTCTTGACTCGGAGGCCGCAGTGGACCTTCCACGGTACCCCAAGGACACCCTTGACCATGATGAGTTTTGCGACCGACTTGGCCGCAACCGCGTAGTCAATCAGCGAGCCCGCACTTTTGCCACAGGTGACCTGGACATCAGGGAGCACGATCTCGCCGCCTATTTCAAGGAAGAGCTGCCACCCAGAAACTTCGGCGTGAGGTTCCAATCTGCAGCAATCCACCTGGGGCCCGACCCCGAGGCCGAGAAAGCGCGGAGCGAATCCCATCGATCAGTCGATCAGCATTCAGACCACCGAAGCCGTGCTTTCACAAAGGAAAAGGAAAAAAAAAAAAAAAAGGGCCGTGATCACGATCAGGTTCCCGCGCGGAAGTTGCCAGACAATCGAGGGAGGAGTAGGAGAAGGAGGAGGGAGGAGGAGGTAAGGGAGGAGAGGAGGGGAGGTGAGGAAATTGAGAACAGCGGCGAGGCGGCGGGAGGTCTCGTGATTCGGTAGTGCGTATTCGTGCGGCAGGCTTCGCGCGCGTCTTGGTGAGTATTGAACTGTTTCGCGGGTATGAGTTTTGGCATAGTAGGATTGATGCGGAGGTAGGCTGCGGAGAGGAGGAGGAGGAGGAGGAGCACGGAGAGAGCAGAGAGGAGAGAGGAGAGGAGAGAGGAACAGCGAGGAGGAGGAGGAGGCGGGATGTGTTGTCGGTCGATCTTCGTTTGTGCAAAGGCCTGCGGTCGAAGCAAAACAGGGGGTCGGCCCGCGTCGCGAGAGTGCTAGAACATTAGTGTTCCCACAATCACGTCAATGCGAGAACAGCTGGCAGGGGAGAAGAGAGGAGGGAGGGGGCGGAAAAAAAGAAGGTACAGAGCAAGCCAGGCGCGATCGCTCCATATCTGACATCATACCCCTCCTACTCATCCCTTCCTATTGCGTTGATGCTTCTCTGTCCGCGGACGCGTGTCATAGCAAACCTGGACCTCCCAAAACGACCCATTGTGCCATGCGCAATCGGAAAAGAGAAGCTGTGTACATGGGAGGAGATGGAGAAAGATTTGGAGGTGGCGGATGGTCCGGCAGGAGGACGAGCAGGAGGAACATGAGGACGATGAGTCAGGAGGAGGAGGAGGAGGAGGAGGAGGAGGAAAACGAGGACGAGCAGAAACAGCGGGAACTGGCGTGGAAGGAGCGGGAGGGGCAGGAGGACCAGGGGACGGCGGAGAAGGGGAAGGGCGGGGGCCGACAACAATGAGGAAGGACTCGGCTCCACAAAAGTGGCCCTCGTTGGGGGGAGAGAGAGAGGGCGCCGTTCTGAACGACGGGGGCCGAACGCCGACCCTGAAGTGAGGCCAGCGCTTCAGCGGCAGCACCGCCTCGAGATACCGAAGACGCTCCGATTGGAAACCCATAGGAAGCGTCAAAGTGATGGGGTCCGATGCAAATTAGCCTGACGAAAGACCCAACCATACGTAGTTGTGAATACCGCAATTGTGGATATATTCTTCGGTGGCGCCCCCGGGCCACGAAACGAGTGAGGGGTGTGCCGAAATGGGGGGGTGGAACCGCATGCGAGCGCAGCCACTGGGGCGCTCGGTGGAGCTCCCTATGGGGCCACGAAGCGTGTGAGGGGTGTGCCGAAATGGGGGGTGGAACCGCATGCGAGCGCAGCCACTGGAGCGTTCGGTGGAGCTCCCTATGGGGCCACGACACGTGCGAGGGGTGTGCCAGAATGGGGGGTGGAACCGCATGCGGGCGCAGCCACTGGGGCCTTCGGTGGAGCTCCCTATGGGGCCACGAAACGTGTGATGGGGTGTGCCAGAATGGGGGGTGGAACCGCATGCGGGCGCAGCCACTGGGGCCTTCGGTGGAGCTCCCTATGGGGCCACGAAACGTGTGAGGGGTGTGCCAGAATGGGGGGTGGAACCGCATGCGGGCGCAGCCCCTGGGGCCTTCGGTGGAGCTCCCTATGGGGCCACGAAACGTGTGAGGGGTGTGCCAGAATGGGGGGGGTGGAACCGCATGCGGGCGCAGCCACTGGGGCCTTCAGTGGAGCTCCCTATGAGGCCACGAAACGTGTGAGGGGTGTGCCAGAATGGTGGGTGGAACCGCATGCAGGCGCAGCCACTGGGGCCTTCGGTGGAGCTCCCTATGGGGCCACGAAACGTGTGAGGGGTGTGCCAGAATGGGGGGTGGAACCGCATGCGGGCGCAGCCACTGGGCCTTCGGTGGAGCTCCCTATGGGGCCACGAAACGTGTGAGGGGTGTGCCAGAATGGGGGGTGGACCCCAATGCTGGCCGCAGCCCTGGGGCCTTCGGTGGAGCTCCCTATGGGCCACGAACGGGTCGGGGTGTGCCAGAATGGGGGGTGGAACCGCATGCGGGCGCAGCCACTGGGGCCTTCGGTGGAGCTCCCTATGGGGCCACGAAACCTGTAGGGGATGTGCCAGAAGGGAGGGGGAGGAGGGAGGACGAAGGAGAGGAGGAGGAAGGAGGAAGGAGGAAGGAGGAAGGAGGAGGGAGGAGGGAGGACGAAGGAGAGGAGGAGGAAGGAGGATCGCGGGGACCGTCTCTTCAAAACGAGGACCCAACAACACAGGTTGGTTGGGAAAAAGAAGGGAGCGGGCGCTTCCCCGGCCATCCTCGGGTGGGCGCGGAGAGCAGCACTCCGTGTTGAGCAGCAGTCGTGGAGGGGGCGGAGCGGAGGTTGCCGAGAGACACGCTTGCGGAGGACATGGGCCGAGGAACGGGGGTTGGAGGAAAGAGAGGGGAGGATGGGAGTGGACGAAGGCTGAGTATGCGTGGCGGGGTGGAGAATGGGGGCAGGAGGTGGAAGTGAGCGGGAGGAGGGGAAATGATAGACGAAGTGGCGAGGGGAGGGGAAGGGACAGGCCTGGACGAAGCATGGGGCAAGTTGCGGACGAGGGAGGTATCTCAGGGCGAGGTCGTCGGGGTTCTTGCAGGTCTTCGGCGGACCCTGGACGCTTGCGAGCCCAGGAAGGGATGACGTAAGCACCTATGCGCAAGGCTCGCTCCCACGTCAGTGCACTAGCAGTTGCCAGCATGCACGCGAATTTGTAGCTTTTTAAGTCCCGACTGCGCATTTCGCGTTGGAAGAGATCGCACCACACGTATGATCTGAACTTTGTTGGTGAATTGGGTCATGTTTCCCGCGGCTGTCCCTATTCCAATCCACTTCTGTATATTCTAAGAGGTGCCGTCATCACGAATATCGCCACAACTCTTGTCATATTCCATGAGTTCGCACGTTCTCTGATCTTGGCACTCGTTGCCGTCGTCTTCGCTTCCTTCTGCCGCAAGCTCACCCACCGTGCCAGCATGGCACTCCGTGAGGCAACCCTACGAGAAAACGGTCAGGCGGTCATAGCATACGACAGTCATTGTCCTTGGGATCCAGCGGGCAGTAACGTGTTACATGTCGATAACGCCGTTTTCCGTGGTAGTTGCTCTCATGGCGCAGACAACCATATTCGGTGACAATTCTCGCTCCCAAATCCCAGACGGCCAGATTCGCTCTTCCAGTGCAGAAATGACCGTAATATAGGCTGATCTTCCATCGCCTCCAGGGTTGTGCCATATGATACAAGGGGGGGATCCCAGGAATCCGGTAGGGGCTTCCTTTCAAATCTCAGGAGATGGCGGCAATTCTTTGTTTGGCAGCACCCAGGGATGGCCGGCAACGGCAGGATGGAAGAATTCAGAAGGAGGGGGAGGAGGAGCAGTGGCAAGTGCCGCGTGCAAAACGATGACCAAACCAACGGCGAGTTGGGACAATTGAACACGCGTTTCAACCCCTGGATTTCCCTGATTCTCTCCCGTTGGATTCTCGTTCTGGATGTTGCAGTTGTCGTTCGTCTCATCATCTCACTTATGTCTCTCTCCCTGTCTTCCCTCCCTCTCATTCTGAATCATCCGTCCTCCCTTCTTGTGTTCTTTGCTTCTCCTGCGTATATCTTCTCTCGTCGGCTCCCCTTGGTTTTGCCAGACGGAGACATGTCGGCGTTACCTGGGCCCCAGCGAAGCCCAGCGGAGCGGCATGACACGGGCACCCACACAAGACCTCGAACCCTTGGGCGTTGCCAAACGCACGCTTGTCGCAATCGGTTTGGTTCCTGCAGGGCTCGACAGAGTGACGCCACACAAGGCACTCAAACTCGACCCCCCCTGGGTCTACGTCAAACGTAGAACCGCCTCGAGTTCATGATCCACTGGACAGTCTTGCAGAGCGGAGCCACGCGAACAGCCGCACCACACATCGCCTCCCCGGGGGCTGACAGACACTAAACTGACCCAGTTTCTTGGGCCGCTGAGGAGTCCAGCGGAACGGCGCCACCTGAGCGACGCAGAAAGACGGGATCGCTTGCGCCGACATTCGCGCGTTGCCCGCGGAAGTTTGGGGGAGGGGAGGGGGGGGCGGAGGGGAGGACCCTTGGTGTCCCCCCCTTTAGGGAGCCCACAAAGGACGTACGCGCCCAGCTATGTACATGAACACGGCCCCTCGATTCGCGAGACCGGCCGCGTTATACGAACATTTGTGCAAGGCGTGCTCTCGAAACAAGCGTGGATTCATGTACATGTGCGTCCTTCTTTCGCTCCTGACCCTTAACATGTGTTTCAGGGGGGGAGGGGGGGGGGGGGGCTGGTTTCCGACGCCCCTCGGCTGGAAATCGTTCCGGCCAGCGACGGTGGATCGCGCTCCCTCTTGGATCCATGTCGGGCAGCCAGCCGCGTGGCCGAGGGCCGCCGCGACCGGAAGAGCCCCCCGTTCCTGTACCCAGCGTTCCTTCGGGGGTACGGTAGGTTCGTGTCGTGTCGACCGGCGGCGACCCCGCCAGCGGCGTTCAACCTTGAACGCCGCGGGCGACCCAGAATCGTTCGATGTGGAACGATTTGGACGTTTCGGAAACGGCCGATCGTTCAAGGTGGAACGATCCAGCGCGGTGTCGGGAACCAACGCCGGGGTCGACACGGCACGAACCTGCAGTACACGGCCGCTGCGAGTTGTGCAAAAACGGCCATGGGCGACACACGCGGCCAGTGGGGCAGGAAGCCGTACTGTTGAGTCGAGCCTGTCCCCCTGCAGGGGGGGTAGTCAAAAACACTGGAAACAAAAATAGTGCTGGGACCATGTTTTTTCCCGTTTTGGGAGCAGTTCTGATGCACTGTTGGGGCATTTTCCATGTCTCTCGTCCGACCTCCGCCCGCAGGGGGACAGG